TCTGATATGTATATGTATAAGCGAAATTAATTGAAAATACACTAAAAGCATATAAATGCAAAATGAATTTATTTAATGATCTCTGATGTATATGTATAAGCGAAATTAATTAAAAATACACTAAAAAGCATATAAATGCAAAATGAGTTTAATTCATGATCTCTGATGTATATGTATAAGCGAAATTAATTGAAAATATACTAAAAACTAAATAAATTCTGTGCTTGAAAATATAAAACCTTCGTTGCATTTATCTGGGTTTTAGAAGAGCAGGAGTTTTGAAAGGCCAGGGCTGAAAACAACGATTTTTATTTGCTTTATTCATTTATTATTCCTTTCATTTATGCAAAAGTTGCAAAATTTGTGTAAAAAAGTTAAGCGATTTCTACGACATTACAATCGAGAAAAAGGTAATCGATTTACCCTTCTTTTGATGTATATTAAAAGTTAAAAATTAATTATTAGGGTTTACAAAAATTTAGGTTTCTTACAACTATGCAAAATTTGACGACTTTTTCCCTGCTTACATATATGTGTTCTCAAAAGTTGCAAAATTTGTGTAAAAAAGTTAAGCGATTTCCACGACATTACAATCGAGAGAAAGGTAATCGATTTACCCTTCTTTTGATGTATATTAAAAGTTAAAAATTAATTATTAGGGTTTACAAAAATTTAGGTTTCTTACAACTATGCAAAATTTGACGACTTTTTCCCTGCTTACATATATGTATTCTCAAAAGTTGCAAAATTTGTGTAAAAAAGTTAAGCGATTTCAACGACATTATAATCGAAAGAAAGGTACTGAAGATTACTGAGAGGTGTGGCATTGCGAACTCCAGATTCGGAAAGTGCCAGTCCAGTATTTGACGATCCTTAGAGTAGACGTAAACATCACTAGGGAAAGTATTAGGAACATTAGTTTGCAAAACCGAAAATTTTAATTATTGCACATACCTAGGAGGGTTGCTTTCAATTTCCTTCAATTTAGCTTGCAGTGCCTTTTCTTCTTTGATAAGTTCATCATACTCCTTACAGGCTTTGGTCCACTCAAAATGAGTGGAACGTGTATCAAAGCGCATCACAATCTCCACTGCGTTGTGAACGTGATTTTATGAGTTTTGAATGTGTCTCTTTGTAGGTTTGTATTTTGCCTAATAATTCCGAAACATGGGTCTGATATGCGATGACCCCTCGTTGTGCTTCGCCGATCATCATCAAGTGTTGTACGTGTTTTTCTTTGACCGCCTTCTCTTGCAGCTTAATGATCCATTCAAGTGCTCGGCCCAACGAGATAGGGTCATCGTTGGCGTAGTTAAAGTCTAGCTGATGAGATAGATAACTGGCGGACTCAAGAAGTTGATTGAATTCACGTTCCACCTGAAAAACAATAATATTTATAAAAGAAACTATACTTATTACGTATTATTTCTGCTCACCATATCGTCCTTATGCTTGGGCACAGGTTTTC